TTGGCATAACTATGGAGGATGCATTGCGATGGGTATTACGCCTCTGGAGACTAATAAGAGACTGATTTAGGGATGTTAAGGAGTTATGACATAAGGATATGGTCATTTAGCCTCTTCTATGCCCTCGTTGCCCGCCAATTTAAAATGTATAGCAACTCAGACAACGAGATGATCGCTCATTCCAACATGAATGACACCACTATCTGACATCTTTTCTGGATTACTAAGTACCATAATGTCAATTAAATGCTAGCATTTTTGAAATGCTAGCAGTTTTGGATCAGTTACCAATACTCTATAGAATCCAACTACTAGATTTATAGTCTACACTAGATTAAAATCACGACTACTACTTATATAGCTGTTCTGATTATCTTTATACATCCATCAAGGAAGGATTGCATCTTTGCCGCCATTTTTCTTATATACTGTATGTACACCTGCGGCCGAGCTACCTACCTTTATTATAAAAAGCATGCTTACTGTGTGAGTGATTCTCAGAAAAACGCAATCACTGTACATTTACCAAGGAGTTAATGACTTTGTGCTTCTGAATCGTTATTTTAACTGAATTTTAATCTTTATATCGTGTTTTTTAGTGTTTTATGAACATTTTAGAGTTGCGGCATTGTTTAGCGGCCATTTTGTTTGTGTCTGTTTTCAGCGTTAATTTTTTGACCTGAGCTGTTCGACAACTAAATATTTTGGAAGCGAATTATTCTGATTTTACTCATTAATTCGTTTTCTAGTGTTATGGATTTTAACATTTGATGCATTTTTTTGCCGTTGTATGTGTACTCAACCTTTGACTTACCAACTCTGTGATACTGAAATTTTGATTTTAACATTCTTTTTTTTTTTGATGCCCTGTCACTTTAGCGTTGTTTGTGGATTTCCTGATTATTTTTTGACGTTGATGCTCCCCCGATTATCGCATTATGATTTCTCTACTGTTGATAAGCTGCAATTCTTGCTGATGCTGGATCTATTATCGATATTGAAAGCAGACCACTTATTTTTTATAGCAGAATATACAAACCTACTCGTCGCCATCGACGCAGTGCACCTCGTCCGTATTACTCAAATTCTGTTGCAACTTTTACTTTACTTAGTTGCGGTGACATTGAACTTAACCCAGGACCTGAAGCTGCAATTTCGAACTCCAGTAAATCTCAAAGCCTGAATGTGTATTGCCAGAATACGAGAAGCCTGAAGAACAAACTTATAACATACAATTGTACCTTACGTTCTCATCTTAAAAATAACGAATATAACATTGTCTGTTTTACTGAAACCTGGTTAAATAACAGCGTTCTTGATGCTGAAGTTTCCGTGCAGGATTTTACGCTATATAGAAGAGACAGAAATAATGGTCTTAGAGGGGGAGGAGTGCTCATACTAGTAAATTCCAACCTTTTATCCCAACGTCTTTATCACCTAGAAAAGGATAACTTAGAGGCTATCTTCATTGAGATTACCATTTCTAGAAGAAAAAAGATCATTCTTGTGTTGGGTTATATTCCTCCTAAATCCAAACTTGCAGTTTTTGAAGAACTAAATCAATCTTTAGATAATGTATATCTTAATTACCCTGGCTGTGAACTTATTATTTTAAGTGATTTTAATCTACCAGGTATAAAATGGTCAAAATATACAACTGCAACTACCAGCAATAATATTGAACAATATTTCGTGAATTCAATTATTAATAATTTTCATCTTTTTTCAATGCAATATGTTTCCCTCTCACTGTGATAACATACTTGATCTTGTCATATGTAGTCAAGATATATCCAACTCAGTTGCTTGTGGTAATGATATTTTTAAATCTGATCATATATACTTTTAGGTTTCACTGTCGTCCTAGATTTTATATTAACAACATCAACAACAGGACTCTATATAACTACACGAAAATAGATAAGGATCTTTTAATTAACACACTTTTAAATGTCCCATGGGATACTCTAAAACTCTGTGAAAATGTTAATGATGCTGTTGATGATTTTATTTCTTTGGTCTTAGCAGTTATCAAAGATGTTGTGCCAGTAGTAAAACCTAGACGGAGAGTACCACCATGGTTTGATGTTGAATTACGGAATCTTATTCGTAAGAAAGAAAGGTTATTCAGGTTAAAAAAAGAAACACCCTAATGCATCCAATAATGATAATTTTTCAGCCACTAGAGCTGAATGCAAGAGACTTTCTCGTAGTAAATACTACAGTTATGTTACCAAATTATCAAACGATATGACAACTAATCCTAAACGTTTTTGGGGCTGGATTAAATCCTCATATAAATGCAAAATTAAACCTGTAAACTTGAAACATGGTGATACTACTGCCTCTTCTCCTGAGGAGAAAGCTAATTTTTTAAATAAATACTTTAGTTCTGTATTCAATAATAGCGTTCCAAGGCCTATTTATCCTGACCTTCCAGAATATTTCTAATTTTAATATTGATATTTTACGTATCGAAACACTTTTACGTGAAATAGATGTAAAAAAGTCATCTGGTAGTGATAACATAAGCAATATTATTCTTAAACTTGGTGCTCCTGCCATCTCTCAACCTTTGTGTATGCTCTTTAACTGGTCACTTAGTGAAGGTACGTTCCCTAGAGCATGGAAAATGGTCAATATACACCCTGTCCATAAAGGTGGTAAAAGAAATGAGGTCTGTAACTACAGGCCTGTTTCTATTGTCCCTACTATTGCTAAGATATATGAACGTATAATTCATGATGTGTTATATGACCATGTTGCTCCTGCACTTTCAATTGCTCAGCATGGATTTATTGCTAAGCGTTCTTGTACTACTAATTTAGCTAACTTTTTAATTGTTGCATATAATGCTCTCAATAATAACTCTCAGTGTGATGTAATATATACTGACTTTTCAAAAGCATTTGACCGAGTTAATCACGATCTACTCATTTACAAGATCTCTAAATTCGGCGTTACTGGTAACTTAAACTCCTTCGTAGCTATCTTACATATAGAGAACAGAGAGTTATTATTGATGGTTCTACGTCTGAATGGACATCGGTACAATCTGGTGTTCCTCAAGGCACTATTTTAGGCCCTTTATGTTTTAATCTTTTCATCAATGACTTGCTTCATAATTTTACTTCGCAATGTCTATTATGCTGATGACCTTAAATTGTTCCGACTGATTAGTAAGATTGACGATGCCAAATCTATTCAAGACGATTTAGATATATTGTACTTATGGTGCAACACTTGGGAAATGTCCCTAAACTTAAACAAATGCAAGATTTTGACTATCACACTTAAACAACGTAAAATTTCTTTCCCTTATAATGTTAACGGCCACGTCATGGAGGTCGTATTTTTTCACCGTGACCTTGGTATTACTATTGATTCTAAGTTGACTTTTAATGAGCATATAAAACAGGTTTGCTGCAAAAGTAATAGAATGCTAGGCCTAAATAAACGCAACTGTTGGAATATTAAGAACTAAAAAGCATGAACTAATCCGTATTGTTTACTTGTTAGACCTTATATCGAATTTAATTCTGTTATTTTTAATTGCATGTCTAATACATGCCTTACTAAAATTAATATTATTCAAAAACGATTTGTTAAATTTGTTTCTCGTACTTGTAATATCCCTTCCAATGATATCATTCTTCCTACTTTAAGTTCTAGACTAATTTACCTTGATTCTCTCTTTTTTATATAATTGCGTTAATGGAGTTTATGGTTCTGATCTTATTTCCGTTTTTGGTTTATCTGTTAAAATTTCTCGATGTCGTAATTCTATCAGTTCCTTATTTAATGTTAAATTTTCTCGTGTTATTGCTAAATTTAGTTTGATTGTTCGATTACCTAAATTTTAAAATTCTCTTGTTGATAAAGATAATTCTATTGATATTTATTATGATTCATTTAGAACGTTTAAACGCAAAATTAAGTTATATATTTAGATTTTTGACTGTTTTTTGTGTGTATTGTAACTGGATTGTTCTTTATTGTTCTCTTTGTTTTATGTTATTCCATTCTGTAAGTGGCGGGCTCCCCGCTGTTGATTGTGAAATGAAATAAAATAAAATAAAATAAAAAATAAAATATATATATCAGTCTTTGAAACAAAAATTTTGACAACAAGGCATGTATTTGAAATTGTCATATTTTTCGGAGACTTCGCCCTCTTCAACAACACTTTCGAGAGATTTGAGCGACGCCCGACCACGCCAACTTTTTCGTTCGATATATATTTTCGATAAAAAATACAGTGTTTTATAGTCATACCTTGCCATTTTTTTTTGTTTCAACGACTGGAATATAATTTTAAGAACAAACGTGGATTTACAATTATTCAAATTAGGTTTGCATTGTAAACACCATATAGACAAATGGATAAATAATAACAGTGCTCAGATAGGAACAGGATGCTTTAATCGTATCAACCATAGCCATTCGACGAAATGTTACCCATTAGTCCACGGAGACCTATATGGTATACATGCAGATCTGAGATCTAATTTCATAAGATAGAAAAGTTTTTTGGTCGTATATAACTAAGTCTATATAATGCTTGCAACTTACTCAAGTTTTACAATATTTGTAATAATGCCATTAACAATGATTACGATGTATTAATAATATGATAATAATAATAGCAATACTACTAACACTTTTGCATACAGTGGTTTATTTATTGATTCTGCAAAACGCTCCAGTTATCTTTAGGCCTATTACCAACAGAGATACTTGGGCCTATAAGAAGTAGTAACTTGAGTGAGTTCAGGATACTATGTCACGTAAATTATACAAAATCCACATAAATATGTACATAATTTATAAGACGAAAAAGACATTACGGATAAACAAACAAGGCCTACATGTATATATTTTTACAGAATTTATTTTGTCATAATTCATAAGTCTATACATAGGGCCACTTGTATTTGTATGTTCTAGAATTTTTAGGGGCGTTGCATGCCTCAAATGGTACATATTTTTACTTCACTTACCGTATCTTCGAACGCATTGATGACGTCATACGGTAGACATGACAACAGGTCGATAATGAACCAAGATCTAAGATAATTCATGCGGATGATCTTTGGATCGGAAACAACTTCACCGCCAGGTTCGACAAATGTTGTATGAAAGTTCAATATTACATCTATGAAAAAAAACTATATCTACAATTGCGTCGATTACTAATACGACGTAGACTCCTGGTGATTTCGACTGAAAGGCCACATTTAAAGGCACTGCTACGGCTGTGTAGAAGGTTAACATAAGTATTATCCAATCCCAAATTGTCTTGAATGTGCAATAGTGTAAAATAATATGAGGCGGTGTTTTAAGTGCTTCGAGTCTATGTTGCGGTAACACATCTGCATCTATTGTCATCATCTTAAAAAAAAAAATAAATAGATATTTGTATATTTAAAAAGGAATAGCAGAAAATAAGCCGCTAAATATTCTTAGTGCTGTAATATAAATAATTGATTAAAAACAATAGTCATTTGTTGGTGCCTAGTAGATAGCACCATATCATCATTATCATCACCATCATCATCATCATCATCATCATCATCATCATCATCATCATCATCATCATCATTATCACCATCATCATAATCATCATAATCATCATCATCATCATCATCATCATCATCATCATCATTTTGAAGCGGAGAGTCTATCAACCCCTTAACTACTCGTTGCTGTTCCCACGAACCGGCGAATACCTGTTACACCTAACTGTTAATTTTTGTGTGTTTCATTCAAATTCATTAATCAAACTATCATAAATTGGCCTATTAAATTAGATTACCCTAGTCCAGTGTTTGTTAACAGGGCATAGCCAATGGCGTATGTAGCAGGCCTGTAGTGGGGAGCTGATGGGTGGGTTTTCGAGGGGGAG